ATTAGTGTTTACATCGTTTTTTGCGAGCAATTAGTTTGACTGTTTGTATTTAAATGTGATATGTGCAAAGTGTAACCATATTTAGGGATATGATGTGAGATTGTTTAATGGTGTTTGTTTGAAATGCGAATGTGAAATAAAATGAATCGATCAACGCATTGAATTCTAAGATTTTTATAATATTGCAGAAGCATGAAACTTTCTCGCGAGTTCCCAAATATTGTCAAGCTTTGTGCAATTAAAGTTTGAAATTCTCACGGGACAGATATATTCTACTCGATTATCTAGTTCTGCATGGCACAACTTGAAACTCGTAGTGTTTTCCAAAGGGTTTTCAGAGACATTGAGGAACGAAATAATAATAATTATGATCTATGATCTATTTAGTTTTTCTTTTGGCTAATCATTCAAGCAATTGCAATGTCTGTGAGTGAGAACCATTTGTTTACTCGAAACATTAGACCAGCACTTATCCCGGGACAAGCCACTGCCACATTCTTCTAGCTTTCCCCAAACTGCAAATGAGTGCTAACAGGTTGATACCTGAAGATATTTCCCAGCATCCCCGCCTATCATGTTACTCCGAAAAAGAAAATCCTTCCAATAACACGGAAGCAGCAGACACGAGCATTTGATCTCTGCGTAAGGCGTTTTCTTTTTGTTACGGCAAGCGCACACATTGGTAACTTTAGAATAAAGGAAAAGGTGATTTTTCACTGCAATACACATTCAAACAGAAAAAAGAGAGGGATAACCAATCGTGAAATCCATTTGTTAGTTCAGTGGAAATTGTAAGGTGTTTTTTGCAGTTTTTGCGTGAGCAACTAAGAAAACAACACATGTCATTTCGATCAGTATGTTAAAAGGTGCAAAAATATGACCAGCTGTCTCTCTGAGCCATAGTTCAAGTTAAAGTGCAAGTCAACTTTTCTGGTTTCTCTGGTAAAATTAAATTAGTTCGTTGAAGCACCATTCCCGGAAGTGACCATTTGACATGTATTCAATGATTTCGCAAATTGGAACACCCTTGCCGGTTATAACACGAACTAAAGTGTCTTTCACTTTCCTTAAAATAGTTGCCTGATGACCTAAATGAAGATCACTGTTATCCGTTTTTGCCAAAAAGATGCAAGTCATAAAATCAAACAAAGTTCTGATGCATAAACAAATCGCATATAATATATGGTCGTATTCAAATCACGAAATTAACAAAAGGTCACCAGTTCAATTGATTTTTAAGGGTAAATTACATCATAAAGGCAACACTTCAATCACTGGACTCACCGAGTTCTTTCTCTGGTTTGTTTTGTGCGTCATTATGAAGGCGACAGTGTTTCTTTGTTTTTCTATGTTAAGTTGTGTTTTCTTATTAGTGGAAGGAAAATCAATCAAGGCAAATCACGGTAAGGATTTGTTGTTTGAAGTGAGAACGAGGATAACTTCATAGCAAGGGTTTATTTCTGTTGACGGATCGAATCCATCGAGAAATCATTCGCTGCAGTAGTGAACTGATTTTGATGTTTCAACGTCGATTTTTTTTGGTGCTCAAATGAGAGAGAAATTGTTTCGTTTCAGATCATTTTTTTCACGATCATAAGAAAACAAGCAAACTCCAACGACAATTAGTGCGGCTGTTCACAGAAAGCAACCCAAAACATTCCATAAAATTAAAAAGAACGAATTTTGATAAGATATAAGAAGATAAGTTACTTTAAACCTGATTTATGAGAAAATAAAGTTACAATAAGCCATTGGCTTTAAAGTAATTAATATATTATGCTGGGTCAAATTCGGAGCGTGTTGACACACAAGAACTCTTAAACACTCGCCAAGAGACTTACTGGTATCTCATTCACTACTTTCCTCGACGGGGTTTGCTTTGAAAGTACCTTGTTGATTTGCATACCCTCCAGAGGGTTGACCAACTTACTTCTTCTCCATATAAAACAACGTCAAACCTTTGTGACCGTTTCTTTGGTTAGCATGAAGTTGATCGTATGTTAAACCTGTATTTTTTTTTTTTATTTTAGACGAAAGGAAAGAGGCCGATGCCAATAAATGCACTTGTGAAATTCCAGCAAAAGAGGAACAAAATATCGACGGAAAGTGTGATTGCTCGCAAGGAGACGCAAAAAAGTGTCTGAGAGACAAAGGAAAATGTAACTGTGACTCTTCAAGCGCAACGATAAAGAATTGCAGGCCAGAGGATTGCAAATGCAAGAACCAAAAAGATGCAGAAAGTGGCAGTATTCAGACAAACATCACGAGGCGATGTGATTGCAAATGCAACTCTCGTTCAAATACAGGACACTCAACTGTAGCAGCGCAAGTGTCAGATAACCCGGGTATCTTGGCTGTTGCACCAATAATGGCGCAAGCCGATGGAAGTCAAGCGGTAAGAAAGGGAAAAGGGTCCAAGAAATGCTGTTGCTGTGACTGCTGCCACGACTGTTGCTGCCACGACTGTTGCTGCCACTGCTGCGAACCATGCTGCTGTTGCTGCCACTGCTGCGAACCATGTTGTTGCTGTTGCCACGAGTGCTGCTGCCCATGCTGCTGCCACTGCTGCCACTGCTGTCCCTGCTGCTGCCATTGTTGCTGTAAGAAGTCAAATGCCTCAGAGAGGACGCCTGCTGTTGTCAATCCGCAGATCGCTGCTGCACACTCCAAGCCACAACATCACTAAGAGATGGTCATTTAAGTCTACCGATTATTAGTAACAAAATATCAAAAAACAAACCTCCTTAAGTGCCACAATATCGTCATAAAATTGTATATATGATCATGTGTAACAGAAGGGTCGACATGAAATAAACAATTAGCATAGTAGTGATGTTTGTGTCTATTTTTACTCATATGTCTGACAATACATTTTAAGTAACAATTATCCGCAGGTTCACATTCAAAAATTCTGCAACTGATTTCGTCCCCTAATACGGTAATAGCAAAACCACCTTTAAGATATATCGTGAATTTGAGATTACACTAATTAGAAACAAACATAGGTTAAAGTCACGAGACAGCTGCAAGTATTCTATTTAGGAATTCTTTATTAAGTCATTCCTTTTCTTTCTTTTTTTTCTTTAATCGCTTCTGTTGCACAACCAAAGAGACAATAGGGTTTTGATTTTGCTAGACGCAGAGGTCAAAATTCAACAGAGTTAGAGGAGGGCATGGGGGGGTCGAACTTCCTTTCGAAATCCTAGGAATTTTCCTTTCGAAATGTGGAGCCAGGTCGGATAGTTAACGATTCTTGGCAAAACCACACGCACTGGCAATTAACTACCGATACAGAAATTTAAGCACAGTGTGTCCGATGTGAAAAAGGTTTTACCGAGCATTCCATTCTTAAAACTTTCTTAATTTGGAAATCGCTCAAAGCATCAAACAAACACTTACATTTCAAATGTTTATCACCAAATGTTTGTATACACTAAAGCAATTACTAGGAGAAACTCAGGCCTTTTAAAAATTATTTCGCCGAGCAGATTCAAATCATGTTATACTGATTATTCCACTTTGTGCGCTTAATATCTTTGCAGCAGAGGAAAAAAATTGAAATTAGCCTCTAAGGGTTGGTTGATGTGGATGTTGACAGCATGTGGTGGTACAGCAATTAATTCTTACAGGTACCAGCGCTGAACACAAGATATGACTTGGTCATTCTGTTTTTATACGCGTCAATATTATATGTGGACTTATTTTGTCTACTGTTGACATGAATAACAATAGAATTGAATTCACAAACTCAAATTATAACAAAGATACTTTCAATAATCATCAACTGAGAGACATCCAATACTCCTCGCCGTTTTTTTCTCCTTAGGTGTCCTAAGTATGTAAGATAAAAAAGGAACGACTTCTATATCCTTAAGAGCGACACTTACACCACGATTAAGCGACATCCTCGGTCCATTTTTAAGGAAAGTTATACTTGTACTACAAAATAACTTTCGATCAACTACCTCCGATAACTGTGAAAGTATATATACAAACATGTTAAGACAGGAGTTTCCAAGGAAGTCGCGGAAACGAGAAAGAGGACTAGGGGCACCATTCACTGTTCAGGTTTTTCCACTTTTCAGTTACACTTCGGATGACTTTCATGAAGTCTGGATTTTTTTCGCAAAAAGTTCCACATTTAGCGCTTATTCGATGATGAATTTGCATTTTTTCATTGAAGTGTTTCAATTTCTTTTTTATTTGTTTAGCTTGAAAAGTGGGGATAGTACATTGACTAAATTACAAACAAAAACAGCTTTTAATTCTTTTAACCTATGACGCTATTACTTTTCACATTAGTTCGTATCGCTAGATTTGATATTGTTTCAGGGCTCCGCTAGACTTCTGAATTTCAATTGTCATTCCCTTAATCTATAGCACAGATGGAAGTTCCTCTCTCTTTGCTCGCCACGATAAGCCGTGAACAGATCAATTACAATTTCTTACAAGGTTTTCAGTCTTAGAATACCCCATTTTTTATCAAATAGTGGTTTTAACTTTACTGACTTATATTTGTGGCAAAATGGTCACATGTGGTTAATTTTAAACACAAAGCAATAAATAGATGTCTCTTCAAGCTTGACGCTTGCGATAGGTGGTGTATTCAGCCATTCAGGTGCACTATTTAATGCTCGAGTTAACAAGAAAAGAAAGCACTAAAAAATTAATAGGAATTTTGAAATTAAAAATGGCGTTTTATGCTATGGAGGACGCTGGAAGATATGTTTCACTAGTTCTTTCTTTTGATGACACACTTAAGGAAAAAATGCAAATCTTGATTTCTACAAACTACGGATTAATTATTACAAAAGCCGACCGGAGGCTTGACATCGATTGTTTCCAGATTTCGCATAATCAGGTGTTACCTAATTTGCCCCTTTACCTGCTAACCAATAATATTAAAGAATAAGTAATCACACAATAGAGCACCCTAGCCAACCAAAATTCACGACGTAAATATTTCAAATCTTACCTAATTTCAAGTCATTTTATGGCAGTTTATGAGACAATAGATCGAGGCGAGAAGAGTTAGTTACATTGTTGTTGTTTACGATACTCCCATAAGCCGTGCCAAAGGTCTAGGAAAAACAGCAGTGGAAGATGATGAAAACTACCTGGCTCTTGGTAGTTTTCACTTTGTTAGTGGTGCTTTATCAAGCAACAGCAGTTCCTGTAGCATCATCTTACAAGTTAGAAAATGAAAATTTTATGGAGGTAATGGAGGCTAAGGAGAAAGCTGAAGAGGCCAGTGACGACGACAAGGCCAAGGATGAAGAGGATGAAGAAGCAAGTAAGGAAGATGAAGAGAAGGAAGATGAAACCAAAAACGACGAAGACGATAAGGACGATGAAGACAAAAAGGAAGACGAGGAGAAGAAAGATGATGATGACAAGAAGGAAGACGAAGAAAGTAAGGATGATGATGATGATAAAAAAGACGAGGAAGAGAAGAAAGACGATAAAGAAGAGGAAGACGACAAAGAAGAGGAACCTGATCTCAATGATCAACAGAACGATCAAGACTCGTCTGGGGAAGAAAATGTAGATCTTGATTCCGAGCATTTGGTGCTTCAGGGAAGCGGTAATGGAAAAATCAAAGGAGTTGTGATTGAAGATTCAGACAAAGAGAAGGACAAACCCGAAAAGCGTTCCGTGGATGATGACAAAAAGGCAGTGAAGAGCACACAAGGTAACATCATTTCCTATTTTTTAATACCTCGTTAACTAATGATCATGTATTTTAACTATATGTAGAGTATATTTGAAATAACTTTCAAATATCAGTAACTCATGTTCAAGACAAGCTATTGTAAAAAAGATTCTGTTTTACCTTTTTAGTAAAACAACTTGGTTTAGCCTTCACATTTTCAGTTTCTAACAAGGGTTAGAAATGAAACTATGATTGCGGACCAGAACTTTAGTTTCGAGAACAATATCTAATCACGAAGCCAAAATCATTAATTTTTCATGACTTTTTAGTGTTTTATGATTGTTTTGTCTACAGACTTAAGGACTAAAATTCACGAATTACTTTCCAGATTAAGAAAAGTACAAAATACGACACTGATGATAACCATAAAGTGCAGAGAATTTTCATTTTAAAAAAATTTTAAAACATTTTTCTCGCTGCGCTTATCGAAGCATGAAAGGGTTGCAGGTGATCAGCCACCTGTATCCATGGAGCAGAAATGATGAACTCAAGGCTGTGCTTCATTTTTTACTTATCAAAATAGATGAAAAGACATCTATACTTATCCTTGCTTTCCAAATTCCCGTATAGCTCAGCTATTGTGGCACAAACAACTTTCGTTGTTTGGTCTTCTTCAAAGTAAAGGTGATCAGGTCTGACAATGGATGGAAAATCATTTTAAAAAACCTTAAAATCACTGTGCTCGGCTCTTTAATCAGTCCAGTCCAAGAGATTGGACTCATGCTTTAGTTTCAATGACAATGAAATTAAAAGAAAATTATTATGTCCGTTACGTGGTCTATCTTTTCCGTACATTAGACATTAGCATAAATAATTGGAAAATAGGGGTAATGTGATTAATTTGATTGCTTATTACAGTATCTATAGTTATGTCTGACAAAACTGCCCAAAAATGTGAATCCCGTCAAATCAGTGTGATATTTGCCTAGCAAAGGTATATTGCATGAACTAACTTTATGGTATTTGCATGTTGTTCTTTGCATGTTGCATGATACCGATTGCATGAATAGTTCAAGAAAAACGGTGTGGTTGTGGTTCCTGGGGTGAACCAGGTGAGGGTTGCGGCTGCGGTAACTGCTGTGGCGGTTTCGAATGCCCCCAAACTTGTGGAAGCTGTGGGTGCGGTTGTTGCCCGCAACTTAACTTCCCCGTCACTTTCGGTGCATGTGTAAACAATCCGTGCTGTGAATGTTGTCAGAAAAAACCACCGAAGGGAAAATGTCAGTGGCCTTGCATGTGGCCCTGCTGCTGCGAATGCGATCCACCCAAGTTTAAATTCACGCCGCTCAAGCCCAAGCCAATGTGTCATTGTCCTAACTCTCATGGATGCTGCGGCGGAAAGAAGAGTGTAGGTGAGTTGATTTGTTCTGTTTGTAACGTTAAATCATTGACAAATTGCTATTTTTTTGTGTGGATCTTCCAACAGCTACTTTTGAAAGGAATGTAACTCCTTTAGACTTCATATTGGCGGAGGAGTAAGCAGTGTCACCTTTTAAAGTTAATAGCTCCACGTCACGGAAGGTGGCGACAAAACCTTTTTCTTACTGATGATATAGTGTTATCTATCACCCATGGGGACGTAAAATGAGAAACCAAGGCTTTGCTTTTTGTTGTCTCGTTCTTTCTTTTCTTTTCGTTTCAGTGAGAGAAACTCTCTGAAATAACTAAAACATCCCAAAGGTCTTCTGATAAGACTTCAGTGGGATTCTGAGGAAGATTAATTTATTTATATTCATTCGCGAAAAAGAAGCAAATAATCTGGAAATATCGAACTCAGTCAGCTTTCTGATACTATTTTGTAAATGAGAGGAAAGTCAGTAGCATTAAAAAAAGAAAGAAAAATGAAACTAGTGCTAATTATTTCTTAAAATATTCAGGTCCTGTAAAAAGAGCTGATGTCAAAAAGCGGTGCGGTTGTGGCTTCGGATATGGTGGTTATGGATATGGCGATTTTGGTGCCGGTCTTGGTTATGGACCTTTCGGTGGATATGGACCCTACGGATATGGCCCCTACGGATATGGCGGATATTTGCACGGTCTTGGTCCATTCAATGGTGGCTTCCCCTTTCCATTATACTAGGCGAGTAAAATATTTTTCTAGCCATTTTGTATTTGCCTTGGAATGGAGAACACTCATTTTGGAAATGCCGTAGGGCTTTTTATTTTTTGACTTGAATTGTGTATACTCGACGGTGATTAAAATTTTGACCAAAAAGAGACTACCCTACACTATATTCCCAACATATCTAATATATCGTTTAGCAAGTAAAACAAATGTCATCCTTTGTGAATTAAAGATGAATTTCAGTTGTAAATCATAAAAAAGCAGCGTAACACTTTTTTGTATGTTAAACCTCTTTTGGACTTATTCTATTTGTATAATTATTACTTACTTCCTTTGACCCCTTTTATTTTATCTTACAGGTCCCTTGATCATTGGCAAAATGTCACCTCGCGAGGAGTAGTTTCTCGACGTATGCTCTGTCTGGACAATTTTTAAAATGAGCGAAAGCCTCGAAATAATTTTTACATGTAAGAAAAAAATGTAACAAAGCAATATCCCCCGATGAGGCAAAATAATAATTATCAATTACGAAAGAAAAAGTCGTTTCCAGCGAGAAACGTGTCCTTGAAGAAACTATTTTTGAAAAATAACATTTAATCACCCATCATTCCATCATCCTGCATGAGCTTACCAACTCGCATGAACGCATGCTAGTAAATAAAATGAATCAATTTTGTGGTGGTTAATGTCTTTTCCCATTCTCATTCGTATATATCACCCAATCTCATGATTGAGACGGTAATGGTTCAAGGCTCATTGCACATTGATCCGAGCCTCGACTCTTAAGTGCTCCTTTGATAATTGAGATAATAAATATAGCCGTTCTTCATAATTAGTAAAAATCAGCAACTCCAGTCTCCAGTCCAGTTAAGTCTTACAAAATCATTGAATGGTGAGACATTTGAAAAAAGAAAAAAAAAAGGAGGGCGGTCACTGAAAAACGAAATAGCAGTCATTGGGACTGAGAGATACATTCAGTCCAAGTAGTTTCTGTTTTTGTTTTGTTGTTTTTTTACTCAACTAGATAGCAGTTCCACTGCTTACTCAATTAAAATCGAATACACTGACATATGAACTAATGATGTTCTCTAAATATGAATGAGAGCCGATAGTCCATTCAGTTGCATTCCTCATGACCAACGGTTGCAATCAAATTTGAAAAATTAGTAACTTATCTTATTTTCCTGTCAAAAACTGAGACCAGTTAGAGAAAACTATATCTTCTTTTCTTGGGGTTTTTCAAGAAAGTTAATGCAAATCTTTACTAGTTAAAATTGTAATAATAGAGATCAAGAATCTTGAAGGGTTCTTGTAGGATGTTTAGATTTATTTCACTATTCATCCCAATTACTACAAAGCAACAAAATGCATAACAACAAAGATTACCCGCACATTTTTTTGGCTTTACAACATGCAAAAGGGAAATACTTTTTGTACAGTTAGTATTTTTCGTGGAGTATGGCATTCTTTTCGAATTTCGGCATTTACCGTACACACCTCAGGATCGCGGATTCTTTAGCTTCTGTGCCTTTCGATAAGTCGCTCAAATAAAAGCACATAACTTAGATAAAGAAAAGCTGGCGATAGCTGCCCTGCCCACGTTTAGTCAAAGCAGTATTCATTCGCACAATGTTTAGGAAATGCACTTCCGCAACCCGAGTCTTTTCCAGTCTGACTATGAGAAGCGTGCAGTTTCGTAACCTTCTTTTCTTTAAATATATCTACTGGTGGAAGGAAGAGATATGCGTGTACTTACACAGTCTCGTTGCATCAAAGACGCTGAGTGTGCTAACCACTCGCCAGCTTCTCTTCACTATTGCTGGTGAGTATCTTTTTTTGCGATCTGCCCTTTAAAAATTTTCGATTGTTTACTTTGGCAAACCCATAGACAGGGCAGCTTCGTCAACATGAAACCTTCTTCTAGTCATGTCTGCATTCACGTCTGCCATGAAAGTTAAGGCAGTAAACATCTCTTAATACGAAGCTGGCCTGATCTTGCGTTTATGTCTTAAGCATGCTTTTACAAGATGTATGAATGAAGTAACCCAGTAACGTGCTGATTTCATGTCGTTCTTAACAGCAAGACGTTCAGGCTTTTGTGGATGTTGCAATTGTTGCGGTGGCTTTGGATGCCCTCATGTTTGCCATCATTGCTGTGGCGGTTGCTGTGGATGCTGCGGCCATGGTTGTGAATCGATAACATTCCCGGTTGAGTTTGGTGCATGCGTTGACAATCCTTGTTGTCAATGCTGTAAAAAAAAACCAAAGAAAGGCTACTGTCAGTGGCCCTGTATGTGGCCCTGCTGCTGCGAGTGCAAAGTTCCTCAATTTAAGTTGAAGCCCTTGAAGCCAAAAGCTGTCCCTAAGGATTGCCATACTTGCTGTCATGGTTGCTGTCACGGTTGCTGCGGTTGTTGTCATTGTTGCCGAAAGAGTGGAGGTATAATTTGACTAAATCATTCACTTGCTGGTCCTAAACAATTTATTTTCGTTGAAACCCTCAGAAAAATTACGTTCTGTTATTATGCAATTGTACAATTTTGTAATTCCGTTGTCGTTGTTTTTCTGTTAAACTTCACACTTTTTCTAAGGAATAGCTCATTTAAGAATATGTTCATATGCTGAATATGTTGAGAATCACTTATATTAAAATGTGACCAAAGTGATTGACAGATTGGCTAATAGTGCTAACACAACTACTTTTCTAGTTCACTGCAGCAAGCGATGCCTTATTCCACCAACCATTACAGATATTCAACCGCTTCCTTATTTCTTCAGTCCTGTGGTTCCTCTCTACTATGGGGCACCATTCCCGCCACAGTATCTATACTATTACTACTGAGGAAGGTCAGTGGAGACTCTCTAGCTCTTTAGATATTAATATTGGTCCTTCCAGACAGAGTCAACGTCTGCTTTACAGCAATGGTAGATGCGGATTGTTTTTTTTTTTTGGTGTTGTTTTTTTTGTGAAAAATAATTTTCTTTCTCCAATTTCATGCAAATACGACTGATTTTGTTGAAGGAAAAAACAGCATGTTGCAGTTGGGCTCATTTTATGGCTGTTTTTTGAGGGGCGCGAGAACTTGGATTTAATCATATGTTTATAATGCTTATTTTGGAATAAGAAACAGACCACAGTGTAAGGACTTATTTCCATTCCACTTGCAAAACTACCCAGAAAATAGTGCGTAAATCAAAACGAAGAATCTAGGGTCTACTTTTTTGTTATCGGATGTTAAAATCGTTCAGGTACTTCAAGTTTCCTCGTCTTTCTCTCTCTGCAGAATGTCCCTGACAAGCATACAGCATACCACAGCGGATTGCATTAATTGCGATCAAAGATTAGGACAATAGTGAAATGTTTTGATTAATTAGAGGGTCAAAATTATAGATAAATTAACAATAATGTAGTTAGAAACTATTTAAAATCAATCAAAGCTGCAATAAAGAATAAATTTGAAACATGCAAATATCTGTTGAATTATCTGGTAATGAAGTTTTGATGCAAAGTTTTTCGACTAAAATCTTATATTTAAGGTACGTAGATCTGAATATTGCTATAATAAATGAATTGTTAAGTTAAAAAACAGACTAGATCTAAATAAATATCCTTCATCAAAAATTTACCGTAAACAATATTATGATAGCATGAAGAGAGTATTTAACAGCTACTCAACAATAAAACTTATTTAACATTAAAAGTAAAAACTTATTTTAACATTTTAGTAAACTAAAGGATATTTAAATGAATGCAAAGTAAACACACCGGTATTTTATTTCATTCCACTCTCAAATGTTGGGTTTTGTTTTCACATTCTTCACTACTCTGATTCCTGTAGAAAAACGCTGCGGATGTGGCGGATGCGGATGTGGCGGATGCGGTGGATGTGGAGATGCCTTCGATTCTGGCGGCTGTGATTACATGGGAGGGGGTTGCGGTGGAGCACCCGGAGGCATCTACGGACCCAGTTGTGGATGTGGTGGTTGTGGAACCTGTGGAACAAACGACTGGTGTGCTGGTGGTACCATGTGCTCCAACTGCAAAGGAGGATTCGGTGCCCCAATCACTTGCTCAGGATGTAACACCGGCTGCTGCCCAAGTCTCACGTTTCCCTGTCAATTTGGCGCCACCGTGAACAACCCTGGTTGTGAATGTTGTAAAGAAAAGACCCCTCCTGGAAAGTGCAAGTGGCCATGCATGTGGCCCTGCTGCTGTACCTGCACACCACCTAAATTTGAGTTCAAACCGCTGAAACCCGAGCCTGTGTGTCACTGTCCATCACCACACAGTCACCATACAGCCTGTGGACATCACTGTTTAAGAAGATCAAGTAAGTAGGGTTCTCTCCAGGAAAGTAAACGTAAAACGGAGAGCAAACCGTCTCGTCAGAAAAGACAGGTGTCTAATTGCAAGCTTTACGAGAGGTAGAGGATAAGCTACAGCTTTGCTTTAAGAAGCTGTTGAATTGAGACTGTTCTTTTTTTTAATTGTGTGGCTAAATTTGCCACGGGAAAAAATTGTATTACTCAGTATAATTGTTCCCCTGCAATAGGTAACGCATTCTTAATTTGTTTCTTTTGCTCCCGTTTTCAGGTAAGCGAGGCCCTGTGAAACGCAGCTTAATGGAGGAACAGCCATCTCCTTTTATGCCAGTCCCATACAATTACGGTTATGCACCATTCTACAACCCATTCTTCAATGGTGTACCAATGATGCCTTTTCCAAGAGTATTTTAAACTGATCAACTAGGTATTTCTATATATCTGTAACTTAAACGTGAATTCAAATCGTTCAAGCGCTACATAGCCTCACCACCATTTCGACCATAATTTTTTGTCACAACACAATGACCCAAACTAACGTATATCTCCCAATTTATCACAACAGATCTCGTAACTTGAAAAGGAGCCTCGGATATGGAGAGATGAAAACACGCAACTTCAAATCAGCACGCCTAAGGCAATGCGGAACGAATGATGAACAATGAACGCTTCGTTGACAAAAAAAATTATTAATTTAGAGAAAAAAATATATATTTTCGATGACTTTCCATACTATTCAGTTATAATATTGAAATACTGGTCAATAAATTGAGCAAAGGTTTAATATGATATCGGTATTCTGTGTGGTTTTATTATAAAAAGTTATAAACTACACCTTCCCTTACAGCACTTTTAACTTGCTGACATTACCCTTGTAATGCTCGGTCTTCTCAGGTTAAATAAAATAATTTTTTTGTGGGGAATATACCTTTCTCCGACTGTGATGACGGTGGCTTAATCTACAGATAACTTTTTCTCCATGAAAGAAGTAAGTTGGTTAGAAATGGATTTGGAAGCACACTCAATGGCACAATTTCACAGACGTCCAATTCACATTCATCAGGTATCACACATCATTTTCACGTTTACCATAAACAATAACATTTGCCTTGTGACGATGTTACATCTATCATATGCAAAGCTTACTTCTCGCCATATCATTATTCACAAATCTCGAGTCATTAACCTTTCGTCAATTCACAACTCTTCCGGCCTCTAAAACAATTGTTGGCTAATAAGCAGCTAACAACATAATGTAATGTAAACCTTGTAAGGCAAAAGTAATTTTAACTTAATCAATACTTGATAACGTAATCATGTTCATTCTTTAACATGATTTTATTAAGTAGCGTACAAAATATGCTTAA